GGCCACAGCGGGTAAAGCGAGTGGCAACGCTCAGGGAGCACCTGCCCAGGTGAAACATCCCCTCCTCTGACCCCCACCCCCGATCCCAGGGCCCTGGGCAGCAGCGGGGCCCCAGGCTTCAGGGGAAAGTGTGTGGGGACAGTCTCCTCACCCCTGCTGCCACACCAGGGGTGACCTGACCTTCAGACATCTGACGAAGCTGCAGCCCTGCTGTCCAACCGCCACAGCTGGTGTGGCCAGGCCAGGGTCTCTGGGTACCAACAGGGCTATGGTTCGTCCCTGCCCTGTTTGTGAACCGGATGAGTAGCACAGAGAGGGCAGCTCATAGGAGTGGCGGAGCAGCCACAGGGGCGAGGAGAAGCTAAGGGGAGACTGTGACTCATGGGCCCCATGCCTGCCCCAGAAGTCGGGGTGCTGAGGCCGATGGCCAAGTGACCATTTTCAAGAAAAAGAAAAATATTTAGGTGCTGGCACTGTGGCGTAGTGGGTGAAGCCGCAGCCTGCTGTGCCAGCATTCCATATGGGCGCCGGTTCAAATCCTGGCTGCTCCACTTCTGATCCAGCTCTCTGCTATGGCCTGGGAAAGCAATGGAGGATGGTCCAAGTCCTTGGGCCCCTGCACCATGTGGGAGACTCAGAGGAAGCTCCTGGCTTCAGATCGGTGCAGCTCCAGCTGTTGTGGCCAACTGGGGAGTGAACCAGCGGATGGAAGACCTCTCTCTCTCTCTCTCTCTCTCTCCCTCTCTCCCTCTCCTTTTCTCTCTGTGTAACTATTACTTTCAAATAAATAAATCTTAAAAAAAAAAAAAGAAAGCATTTTTTTTTTTCTCCATCAAACCAGTCAACCCCAGGGTGAGCACTTGGCCTAGTGGTTAAGATTCCAGATACACCTTGGTCCCACACTGGGGCACCTGGGCTTGATAACTGGGGCTCCGGCTCTGGACTCAGGCTTTCTGCTGATGCTGATCCTGGGAGCCAGCAGCGATGGCTCAAGTAGTTGGGTCCCTGCCACCCACATGGAAGACTGGGATTGAGTTTCTGGCTCCCAACTTTGGCCTGACCCAGCACGAGCTGGCACCTGGGGCAGTGAACCAGTGGATAGAAGATCTCTGTCTCTCAAGTAGGTAAGTAAAAACTAAAAAACAAAAAATCAAAACAGCCAGCACCTATATTCTAGTATTCTTAACTGCACGCGTTATTTTAAGGCATCTACGAATTCCAGTAGAGGGTCATCTCCATGATCCCCGACTGGCACGCCTGAAGGTCACCACAAACAAGACACGACCGAGGACCTGTCACAGCCAAGAGGGGCCGAAGACGACAGGACAGCTCAGGGTGATGAGCTGCCCTGGGGGGACTGCGGGACAGCAAAAGGACGTTAGGTGAAGAAGGCGAACCAAAGTGCGGCCTTTGATGATGGTGTTTCACCATCGTACCCAATGCCCTCTACTGCCGTAGACGCTAACTACAGGGAAGACCAGGTGTGCCGTGTGCAGAACCCTCGGTTCTGTCTTCTCAATTGTCCTGAAGTTTTCAGTTGTTTTAAAATAGTAAGTCTAACATATTTAAAAAGCAGGAATTGTAAAAGCAAAATTGTAAACGTGTAACTTAAAGATCATTGAAAAAGTTATTTAAAAACATTTACAACTTCAGCTTCTGAAACCCAAGAGTGTGCATCTGCCCCCACCCCCATGTGTCTCCCCTCCCCACACATTCCTCCCCCCAAGTGCTATAATCATGTGCTACCCAAACACAGCTCACCCACAGATCCCACCAGCTTTTCAAAGCATGTCTACTTTCCAACCCAACTTATCTCCTTTCTTTATAAAAGACTTACTTATTATTTCAAAAGTCAGAGTTACAAAGAGAGAGAGACTGACTCTTCCATCTGCCAGTTCACTCCCCAAATGACCACAATGGCCAGCGTTGGGCCAGGTTGAAGCCAGCAGCTTTTTCCGGGTCTCCCACATGGGTGGCAGGGGCCCAAACTCCTGGGCCATCTTCCACTGCTTTTCCCAGGCCATTAGCAGGGAGCTGGATGGGAAGTGGAGCAGCTGGGACACAGTCGGCATCCAGACGGGATGCTGGCGCTGCAGGCAGTGGCTTCACCGGCTATGCCACAGTGCTGGCCCCAAGTCAGTTCCTTTTTCCTCCTTTTCTTCTTCTTTGACATCTTTTTTCTCTTGCACATTTTGGCAGAAGGACTTTTCATGTGGCTGGACTCAGTAATAACCAGTGGCCCCTGGAATCTGTGGAGGACTCCCCAGCGTGCCAAGGGGGTTGGCCTACACTCCTCACCGTGCTGGGAAGGGCGCATACTCATCAGAGATGCTCCTCAACTCATCATAAACTGAAAAGACCCTCAGTCGAAAGCGCATTGATAAGCCTCACTTACCCCAAACGTGCTCAGGACACTTACAGCAACCTACGGTTGGGCAAAACCACCTGACACAGCCCTGAGGATCCCAGGTACCAAACACAGTGCAGGGCCCTGACTCAACGGCTGCCCTAGTGATCGCATCGGTGGCCGCTGCCTAGGGTCTCTAGGAAGGTTCATGGCTCCTGTAGTCCAGGGACACGTCCAGATTCAAAATAAGAAGTGCAGTTTTGGGGCCAGCGTTGTGGCCAGAATCCCAATGGGGGCCGGTTCTAGTCCCGGCTGCTCCACTTCCAATCCAGCTCTCTTCTGTGGCCTGGGAAAGCAGAAGAAGATGGCCCAAGTCCTTGGGACCCTGCACCCGTGTGGAAGACCCAGAAGAAGCTCCAAACTCTTGGCTCCTGGCTTTGGATCGGTGCAGCTCCGGCCGTTGCTGCCATATGGGGAATGAACCAGCGGATGGAAGACCTCTCTCTGTCTCTACCTCTCTAACTCTTTCAAATAAATAAAATAGTTTTTTAAAACAAACAAACAAACAAACAAAAAGAAGTGCAGTTTCTGCTGAATGCGTACCAGTTTTGCACCATCACAAAGTCAAAATAAACCACGTCAGGTCAGCACTGTGGTCCAACGGATTAAATTGCCACCTATGAGGCTGGCATCCCACGTGAGCACCAGGTCAAGTCCCAACTGTTCCAGCTCCCTGATGGTGCAGTTGGGAAAGCAGTGGAAGACAGCGTAAGTGCTTGGACCCCTGCCATCAATGTGGAAGACCCAGGTGGAATTCTAGGCCCTGGCTTCAGCCTGGCCCAGCCCCAGCCACTGCAGCCATTTAGGGGGAGTGAACCAGCGGATGGAAGATCTGTCTCTCCCTCTAACTCTGCCTTTCAAATAGATAAACAAACCTTTTAAGTTATGGATGTCTGTATCCCCATTTAACAGACGAGAAAGCTGGGGCTCAGGGATACTGGGTAACCTGCCCGAAGTCACACAGGCAAATAAGGGTGGAGTCGCAGTACTGGAAACGTCACCTTCTGCAGTGCTACTCCCACTGGCCCTGCCCCTTCCCACTCTGTCATGCTGGGCAGATGGGAAGGGCCAAACAGCTCCTCGTGGGTGTCCTGGGGGGCCCAGGGGGCTTTTGGGGATGGGGTCAGGGTGAGCCACCCTTAAGGTTCCTGCAGAACTTGGGGCTGCACTGTTTCAACAGCTCAGACAGCACCAGCAGCCTTGGTCTCTACCCCAGGAAGCCAGGGCCGGCCAGGGCTAAGTCCCATGTGCCTTCCAGGCAGGGTTAGCAGCCTCAGGGTAGGAGAGGCTCAGCATTTGAACTTGCTGGTCCCTGGGGGCCATTCCAAGTGGCAATCACCACCAGCAACTGCAAAGCCACCCCAAGCACCACTCAATACTGTCGGTGACTCACTGTCAAGGCCGCCCTGCAGACACGACCTGAACTGCTGAGCCTTCCAGGAAAGACAAGGGATGCTTGCGGCTAACCACCCGTGGTCAGTACAGTGAAGGCCACAGAGGATGTCACCTGCGCAGGTGCCCTGGGGCACCCGAGCGAGTGTCAGGGTGGAAAGGGCAGGAAGAAGAAATGGATTTTTCCGAGGACTGCTCCTTAGCACGGCACCCTGGCGACTCGGAGGGTGCCGGGGTCACGGTCGGAGCAGAGCTCATCCCCTCCAGCACCGTCAGGGGCGTGTGGCTTTCCACGTGCCCGTCCCTCTCTGTGCCTCCTCTGCATGAGGGCGATGAAGTTACTTCTGAGTAGGGACGACCGCGTGAGCCGACGTGAAGAGCTGCTCCACAAGCTGCTGCACAGGCGCTGGGCAGCGCCGCTGCCCCGGGTGGGAGCCAAAGGGCGATGTCGTGGCCCTCGGAGCTTCCCCACGGGAACGAGGGCAGCTGGGTGGGAGCCAGGGCAGCCCCACCACAGCCCAGCGCCACTCCTCAGGGGGCCTTCGGGCCCTCCTCTTCCCTCCCTGTTTTTAGAACGCTGAGGCTCCGACTGAGGACTTGGCCACCGTCTTCCAAGCACACATAGAGCCCAGCCTCCTGTCTCTGGCCACGTGGCGGGTGTTGCTGCCGTGGCCCCTGGTCCGGATGCTTCTGAGCCTCCTGGGACACAGTGACGTCACCACCCCTTCACCATCCTAGCCCAGATGCCAGGACCAGGGCGGGAGTTCAGTAAACCACGTTTCACAGGCAGCCATCTAACCAGGTTCCCCTCTGAAATAAAAGGCCGGGAGAGCAAGCTGGCCAACGTAGCACTGAGTACGAAACAAAGAAATGAGGCAAACCTTGGAAACCCCAGGCCAGGGGCCGGCCCTGCAGCATAGTGGGTTGAACTTCCACTTGCAACGCAGGTGTCCCCTATCGGAGTGCTGATTCAGGTCCCAGCTACTCTGCTTTCCATCTAGCTTCCTGCTAATGCAGCAGGTGATGGTTCAAGTATTTGGGTTGTTGCCACCCATGTGGCAGACCTGCACGAAGTTCTGGGCCCAGCTCCAGCTGTCATGAGCATTTGGGGAGTCAATCAACAGAAAGGAGGTTTCTCTATCTCCCTCTGTCACTCTGCCTTTCCAGTAAGTAAATATTTTTTAAAAAGAGAGAACTTACAGACAAGTTTCTGAGAAATTTAAAAACTTCAAAAATGTTTACATTTCAGTTTGGCTTGCTGCATCCAGAGGGGACTTTCTCCCAGGAATGTAAGCTTTGCCAGTCTCCTCCGCAAACGGCCTGCTGGTATTTAAACAGAACTCCAACCACGCATTTGCTAGTTGCAACCTGCCCTTAAGATGTTGATAAACCTTAAAGTAGATGTTTAGTCTGAGTATGTGTTTAGCAGGTGCCATGTTTGTCTCCATTTGCTGAAGTCCCCAGGGTTGTTCAAAGTCTCCATCTATGGTACAGTCTTAGGAATTTCTGTCCTAAGCAGTGGGTGCTCCAGGAGCACCCAGGCTTCCACCTGTGGGAGAGTGCACAGGAAAGCAGGGGTGTGCTTCCTGCAGGTCACAACCTGCACTAGCATCTTAGCAATCCGCACAGCGCGCGAGCTCTGCACAAAGCGGGCTTCTCAGCCCAGCCCTGGGTCATGCTCTCCCTCGGGGGCCATGCGATCCTAATGACTCACACAGAACTTGACACCCATCAGGGCTGTGTGCCCAGCCTGGGGCTGCCCCCAGGATGAGCCGTCCAGGGAGTTCTGGACATGGAAATGCTAAGCTACCCAGGAAGGCAGACAGGCCCTGGATGCCCCCATCCCTTCCAGTGCCCCCTCTGGGAGTCTAGCTCAGGGGTTAAACACATGGGCCCTAGGTTAGACTGCATTTCCTGCTTCGCCTATGTAAGAACCTCAGTGTGCTCATCCATAAAATGGGAATAATAATAATAATCGTGGTACCTTAGGAACTTTGCAAGCAGAGCTGAGTGTCTGGCGAATAGCACATGCTGTTCCTAACTGTCACAGCTGTTACTAGGAGTGTCAGAGCCCCTGTGAGTTGAAAGAAAAGGAACTATAATTCCAGCTAATCAAGTTTGGGATTGATGGATTTATTTGGGGAGTCAGATGGCAGGAAACAGGTTTTTTGTTTCTCCGAGCCGGTATTCTGTTCCAGTAATTGCAGGCTCACAAAGTATAAACCTACAGAAAAATGGAGGGTAGCTTCCAAGAGAACTTAAGTAATGAGCACAGGTCCTGCCCTGGGGACGTCATAGCAAGCCTGGGGCTTTCATCCCAAGGCTGGAGGAGCCCTCTCTCCACAACCTGGTCCAAGACTTTCTCAGGCAGGGATCCAGACACCTCGCAACTCACACCTCAGCCACGCAGCGGCTTTGCTCCAGTGAGCACCACAACCCTACAGCAGCGCGCAGTGATACCGCGAGGAGCCGGCCTGCAAATACCGAGAACGCCTGGTGCCTGAACTTCCTCTCGCGCAGCGCTGGGTTTCCTCTTCCTTTACAATGAGTCATCTCCCCGCTTCCCAAACCACAGCCGAACGATGGCGGGGCGGGGCGGGGCGGAGGGTCCTCCCTCTGGGTGTGGGCCCCTGGAAATTCCGGCCTAGGACGGCCCAGGGACCAAGGGGAAAACTACAGAAGCCCTCCTGACCTTGCCCGCACGCCCAGTGCGTGCGGGGAGGGGGTGGTCTCAGCGTGGGGCTGCAGGGAGGACCCCCGCCCCAGAACCAGAACTGCGCTGGCAGGGAAGGGAGAGAAGCCGTGGACGTCCCCTCACCCCTCCCCCGGGTCCGTCACTCACCCAGGGCTCCCTGGCAGATGTCTGTGCGGGTGGCTCCTCCAACGATGAACTGGGGCTCAGGGCTCAGCTCCTGCGAACGAGACCCACAAGGTGCCGTCAGCCAGCAGGCAGCTGCTTCTGCAGCTAGGCCACCCGAGTCGCCGGCGGGAGCCTCGGCACCCCTCTCTCCCCCATGCAGTCAGGGCTCTGGAGGGATCCCTCTGACTCCTGCTTCATGGGCCCCAGGGAGTGGGTGGGGCTCCTCCACCCTGCTGTGTCCCAGGAACCACGGCAGCTTGAGTCCCCTCTCCTCCACCAGACACTGAGACCCTCTCCTCTCCGGAGCTCCCCGACCCCTCCTCTGGTCCTGGACAAGCTGTTTTATTTCCATGGAATTCCTCCATTTCTCAGCCTGTCCCCTCCTTTTCTACACTGCACCGTATTTGGCAGCTCCTTGCTGCCTCCTCCATGGAGCCCTCCTTCATAGTCCAACCCCTAGTGAGCACACAGAGCAGAGCCTGGGCTCTGGCCCTTCTGAATTCTTCCCTAGGCTGAGTCTCCGATTCTCCTGTACCTGCTGTTTAGTAAAAACTGTGCTTGCAGTTTTACCCGCGGGGCCCTCTCTGGAGCACAAGACGGGTTCATCCTGGTTTCAGAGAGAGAGAGACACACACACACACGGAGAGAGGAAAGAGGAGAGGCGGGCAGGCAGGCAGTACTTACTGGGCGCTGAAGTTAAAGCACAGCTGCACTCCTGCGGGGCCCTAACTGCCTAGGAACCAGCTCCAAGGGCATTGCAAGCAGCCTCCGGGGGAGCCGGCCCTGACTCACGCCGGCCCCTGCAGTGGCCTCTCTGGGTGCGTCTATGCTCCACCCAAGGCCACGGAGGAAGGCAGCGTGCCTGTCCGGGTTCCTGTTGGCCTCAGTGGCGTGGTCCGTAGGCGTCTCACAGCTGGTCGAGTGCTGCACGTGTGCACCCCCGTCCCCCGTCCCCCGCCCCCCGCCCCACGCCGGCTACCCTGGCTCAGGCAGCACACGCTCTTCTGCTGCACAGCACATTCCCTTCGTTCCTCTGCATTGTCCTCTCCCTGCTCAGATCTGTCTGTCCCAGCAGCTGGGAGTGTGTGTTTGTGTGTTAGGGGGTGGGGCAGTGACAGGGACAATGAGAAAATTCTCCCCGCTCAGATCTGTCTGTCCCAGGAGTTGGGCTGGGGGTCTTAGGGGGTAGGGGAAGTGACAGGGACAATGAGAACGCTCTTTTGCTGGGGCAAATGAAGCCAGCTTTGCCCAAGGCCCACCAGCCAAGAGTTCACCGGGCAGATGGAGCAGACCGGGCTCCCTTAAACAGCCCTGCATGCCACTCCTGAGGCTGCCAGGCACCTACCCCACAGGGACTTTTCCCACGGCACTCAGAACGCTGAACCTTGTGCACAGTGAGTGGGGGGTCAGCCTCACTGTGGGATGTGACAGTCAGAGGGGGCGGCCCCAGGGCCTGGGCGTCTGCAACCTCACCCTGAGCCCTGGCTCTGGCACTGTGTTATGGGTCCTTTGACCCTGGCCTCAGTGTCCTCACCTGCACAATGGGAATTGTGATGGACCTCCTGCACAGGAGGACGCTGAGGGTTAAAGGAGGTACCTGTAATGCACTCTGTAAGTGTTGTCCATTGTTTAATCACTGGCTTTGAGACAGGACATGCGGGTGGGGTGGGGTGGGGCTGACCTCCAGCAAGCCACTCGGCTCCCAGGGGACAATGGCCCCCCGCCCCTGCTCCCACCTAACGGAGGTGCCACCGCGGCATCACACCGGCTTCCTCTACACTGCACCTGGGGCACTCGCACCTCACCCTCACCGGGACTTCATCCACTTCCTGCTGAACCCCTGGCCCGGCCCGAGAGCCTCTCTCTGAGCAACAGCGGTCCCTCCTCCCTGCCAGGAGAAACCACACCCAGCCCTGGCCACACCCCGGACTCTCACTTCCTCAGGGACCCTGCTTCACTGTCTCTTTCCACCTTTATCTCCAATCCCTTCCCCTCCAGTGACTCAACACGGAACATATTCCGTCATCGTAACACACCCCGACTGCTTCCAGCAGTGTGGCCTCTCGGGCCCCGGGACTTACTCTCTCTCCTCCATCTCCGTCTTCACTTCTGCTTCCCTCACCTTGGAGCCTGCTGCAACCTGGCCTCTACCTTCCATGGAAACTGCTCTGCTGCGCTGACTTGCTAACATCCATACCCAGCAGAAATGCTTCTGTCCCCCTGGCCTGCCCCCAGCAGCGCTGGAGAGGTGGGAGGAGGCAGTTGGAGCAGCTGTGAGAGGGCTCCAACATGCTCACACCGGACACAGTCCTGGCTGCACCCTGCACACCAGAGGGACTCCAGTAAGCAGCTAACTTCCCCCAGCCTGTTTGCTCACTGCAGTGCACCGCCTGCCCGCCCCATGCAGGGGCCTGCACGTGGCCCTGGAGCTCTATTTCTCATCTGGAAACTCCAGCTGTTAGGGAACTTGTCCCCTCTCACTCACCTCTAATATCGTCAGAGGTACAAACTATATGCATGGCATTACAAACAGTAGATATTCAATAAATGCTTATTGAATGAATTAAAATCAGTGAAAGCTGCAAATTCATTATGCAACCCAGACTGTGCTACATGAATGCAAGACAAACACACTTTGACAACTAGGATTTCATGGAGGGCTCATTATAAACTCACATCCACTCACTCCACGGTCATTTTCTATTGGGCTCACTGATGCACCCCGAGTGTTAAGGACAGTGCCAGGTATGTAACAGGCACTCAATAAATACTGTTGAATGAGTAACGAATGTGGAAGGGCACTGGAGATATATTGCATAGGGATGTGCCGGACTTCCTGCAGTAGCAAGGGCAAACACACGGTGGCAATTACTTGTACACGTTGGAAAAAAAAAAAAAAAACCAACCAACCAAAAAAAAAACCGTGAAGGCCACCAGGGAGAATGAGGAAAGGGGGAAAGACATTGCTAAGGATGGGCAGGAAAGACCACCTGGGGAGGGGCCACGTGGCAAAGTCCCAAAGGAGGAGCGCAAGGCAGACTCGGGTAAGAAGGCCAAGGCAGGGGAGAAGGGAGTTAGCATTTAGGCATTGCTGCTGCTTTCAGCCCTGGAGAGGTGGCAAGGCAGGGTGAGTTCTGGGCACTTCCTGCCACTCAAGGCTACCCAGGGGCTGGACTGGGAGCACAGGAAGAGACCCGCCCCTGTGGAAGCTGGGGGAGGCCCCCTAGTCTGGGTGTGGGGGCCGCAGCTCGCGTCCTGGGGCAGCAGGGGCAGAGTGGACAAGCAAAGTTGTCCCAAAGCCGGAGAGACCCCGAGGGGCAGGACAAGGGGGCTCTGAGGTTCCTGGGGGAGGGGCGGGGGCCAGGGGGACCACGACCAGGAACCCGCGGCTCCTGGGAACACTTGCTGTCCCTGCTCCTGTCGCGGATAAACAAGCAACTCCGAATAAAGGTAGCGGCCCCTTGGCGAGGTCGCCCGCATATATGATCTGCACTTTCTCGCCCAACACGCAAGGTCCCCATTGGCGACCCACCCTGGGCGGACGGCATCTCCCTGCAGCCCTGAGGGTTCCACCCGGCCTCCCCCCTCCGGGCGCCACCCGAGTTTTTGTGAGGTCCCAAGGCGAAGTCCCCGCGACCCCAGCCCGGGGGACGCAGCGCGCGGCCGAGGTCCCGGGCGGGCCGCCCCACGCCCAGCCCCGCACCCCCAGCCCTCGCGCCCCCTACCGTGGGCCGCTTCCACTCGATGCCCCGAGTCTTGCTGGAGTAGGGCCCCAGCTCCTTGAAGCCCAGCGACGAGGGCTGGGCCGGGAAGGAGGGGTCCTGGAAGAGCGTCCCGGCCTCCAGGCACGCGTCCCGCAGCGCTTCGTAGTCCTGGTTCAGGTACTTGACGGCCCTCTCGTGCGAGCCCAGCCCTTCGGCCGCCTCCCGGTCCCTGGCCAGCCTGGCTGCGATGCCCGCCATGGTCGCGGCGCTGCGCGGGAGCCAAGTGTTGGCGAGCTGGGGCGCGCGGCCAGGGCCCGGCGCACTGAGCGGACTGCGGGCGGGCGAGCGATGATTCACCGCGGAGAGCGCCGCGGCCGCGGGGTGTGGCCTGGGCCGCTCCCGGCCTGCTCGGCGCCGGCTCCGGACGCCGCCAGCCGGGGCCTGCGGAGCGCGGAGCCGGCCCGGCGCGGGTGCTGCCACCTGCGGCCCACGAGCGGAATGGCGCGGGCGAGCCGGACAGAGGCTGCACCTCGGCAGCTCCGGGCAGCAAGCAGGCCCAAACCTCCAGGACACACCCAGAGTCAGTAGGGGATCGGCGAGCCGAGCCACGGAGCCAGGCCAGCGTCCATCGCTTGGGCCCCGGCTTAGCGGTGTCCTGCCAGCAACTCCACCAACAAGGTGCTGCTCGCTATCGTCCCATCTTGCAGATGAGAAAACTTAGTCTCAGAGACTCGAAAACCCGGGACTACTGGTCACAGCCGACGAGGGATTATCAGCCGCCCAGAACACCGTGCTCCAGTGCTGTTCAGCTACTTGGTCACGAAGCCCGCTGTGCCACTTGGTGGGGAAAAGAGAAAGAGCTCTTCTCAGTTGAATTTGCGTTTCCCGTAAACAAGGAATGCCTTTCTAAGTGTATGTATGTCCCAAATACGGCATGAGTACTTATACTAACACAGGGAGGCCTTGTTTCTCTGGAGCCCAAAGTAATTGAATTAACTAGGAAAGTGCTTAGAACAGCGCCTGTGTGGGTGGCTACCAGGACCAGTCTTGAGGCCAAGTCTGTGATTATCACACACAGAGAATCAGGTGTGAACGGGGGAAGGGGTGGCCCCTCTGCCCTCCACCCTGGGAGGAAGGGATGTGCATTCTTTCCTGCAGTGCTTCTCAGCTGGGGTTGCTGTCCCCCATCCCACCTCCCCACCTCGGGAGATTTTTGGCGTTGTTGGGAGTTTTGTTTTTTTTTAAGTTAAAATTAAAAATTGAGAGGGAACCAGAAAGAGTGCAGGAGCGAGAGCACACGCCCATCCACTGGTTTATTCCCTAAATGCCTGCAATGGCTGGCAGCTGGGCCAAGGCAGGAGCCAGGGGCCAGGTGTAGGCCATGTAGGTGTCCCACATGTGTGGCTGGGGCCTACTTCCTTAGCCATTTCTGCTGCCTCCATCTGGAGACAGGAGGGAAGCTGAACGAGGACTTGCACCAAGTACTCTGACGTGAGACAGGGGCATCTTAGCTGCCAGGGGAAAAGGCCGCCCTCAGCTGGGCCCTCCTCTCAGCTGGGGCATGGGGTGCTGTTGGTCTCTGCTGAGCAGAAGCCGGGATGCTGCTAAACCTTGCCACGTCCAGGAAGGCTCGTAGAGAAAGAAGTATCTGGCTCAGGCTGTCAGTAGCGCCAAGGCGGGGCCATCCTGGCGTAGGGAACCTGGCAGAAGTTTTTCTATAGATAGGGAAATGACTTCTTCCCTGTGAAGGGGCTAGAGAAGCCAGGCTTGGTCTGTTTGCTCGCTTGTTGCAGTAGCCCTTGCTCCAGGAGGTGGGCGTTGTGGCACAGTGGGGTATGCCCCTGTGATACCTGCACCCCATATCCAAGCACCTGCTTCTCTGCCTCTGACCCAGCTCCCTGCTAGTGCATCCTGGGGGCCAGCTGATGACTCCCATGTGGGTGGCACTTGGGTTCCGGCCACCCACATGGGAGACCCGGATGGAATTTTGGGTTCCTGACTTCACTCTGGACAGCCATGGCTGTTGTGGACATTTGGAGAGTGGACCACTGGATCTCTCTCTCACTCTACCTTTCAAGTAGATGAAAAACTTTAAACACTTAAAAATAACCAAATATACTTCACTCCATGTAAATGGCTGTTTCTTTGACTTCGCATTTGATTCATCACACCTGGTTCCTTAATTTGAGTGCAATGAAACCTTTAACCCACGTGCATTTTATACCTGTGAGTCATGATATTACTTTTAAAAAACATTACCTTCACCTGTATTATCCCCTGCCCACCTCGCCTTGTCCTTGACCCAGTGTCCATGGTTGTCATTGCTTTGCTTGACCAAACCTTAGTTGAGTCTCTTGTCTCTAAGCATTGCTTGCCCCAAGCCTAAGTGAGCACAGCAGCCCAGCCCCAGTCCTTGCGTCAGTTCCACGCAGGGAGACCCTGTTCCTTCCAGCACCTTCACCCCCCTCCGGCCATTTCTCTCATTTGTCCCGTGTCTTCTTAAGAATCTGCTCATCCAAGGCCAGCGCCGTGGCTCAATAGGCTGATCCTCCGCCTGCAGCGCCGGCACACCGGGTTCTAGTCCCGGTCGGGGCGCCGGATTCTGTCCCGGTTGCCCCTCTTCCAGGCCAGCTCTCTGCTGTGGCCAGGAAGTGCAGTGGAGGATGGCCCAAGTGCTTGGGCCCTGCACCCACATGGGAGACCAGGAGAAGCACCTGGCTCCTGGCTTCAGATGAGCTCGGTGTGCCAGCCGAAGTGCACCGGCCGCAGTGGCCATTGGGGGGTGAACCAATGACAAAGGAAGACCTTTCTCTCTCTCTCTCTCTCACTGTCCACTCTGCCAGTCAAAAAAAAAAAAAAATCATCTGCTCAGCCTTGCTTTACCCTGCAACAGAAAACCCCTTTTCTGCTTGATTTTGAGATGGTTGCAGATTTCTGAGATGGGAACACTCTTCCTATGCAATCATCTTTCCAATGAAACTCTCCCTATCTGAGTCTGGATTGTTTTTCTTTGACATCGGCCATCTCCAGTTTGTAAGTCTGGGGCATGCTGTCTGATGGACAGGCACCACTGTCTCCCACAACTCCCACCCCAGCTCTGCCGTCTGCCGTCGGTGCCATTGGATGAGATAGAGATGCAGTCAGGCGTTTCTAGCTCGTGGGTTTCTGGCATAGGAGTTTGCTGAAAGCATCACAACTAAGAGGAGACAGCCCTTTCTGGGAGCTGTAACTTTGTTTCGCTCTGATTTCTGTTGGCTCTGCCCTGATGTCTCCTGGGAGGAAGCTTGTCCACCTGCCCAGTGGGGCAGAGCTCACACTTCTCATCCCGCCCATCTCAACAACAGCTCCCCTCTGGAGGAAGTGCCTCCTCCCCAGGCAGCTGGAGGGGGCTCCCTCCCAAGTCCTTTCAGCAACAAATGACTCGGCAGGGTGGAGCCATCATCCTGGTTAAATCAGAAGCTTTGCACAGCCCAGGGGCAGAAGAGGCTTCTGGCTCACCCTGGATTTCCACTTCCTAGCCAGGCAACGCCCCGTTTGGTGCAGCCCTGGTATCAGACCTTGCCAGGCACCGGGGACTCTGCACAAAAGCTGCTGGCATTTTGCAAACACACACAGTGCCTCCTGTCCCCATCTGATGGACACAGCTGTTTGCAACCTGTGTGACCCTTGCTCCTTATGCTTCCCAGAGCCTCTCATCCAGTGTCACCTTGCTGTACCTGGCAAGGCCAACTCTGTCTCTGACCGCACAATGCCTTTCCCGGGAGTACAAGGTGCAGACAGACCCGCACCCCACCCGCACTGCAGTGGAAACCCTTCCTGCAGTGAGTCATCCCATGCCCGGAGCAGCCGGTGAGTCAGAAGCAGCAGAGAGGATCACCAACCGCCTGGGCTTGGCCCACAGCCCTTGTGAGAAAAAAAAAGAAATTAGAATGTGTGTATGTCTCAGGGCCACAACAAGGGAATCTTTGTTAACAAATATTTTCAAATTTTTAAATATTTGTCAAAAGTAAAGCCATTCGGTTCATTTTCAAAGTAAAGTGTTTAGCTGTGAGTCGATAGTAACCGGCATAGCAGCTTGCGGATGTGTGGTGGAAAGTTACAGCAGCCAGCAGGCAAAACAGTTAGGTTGCGTGCACCTGGAAAGCGGTCAGCAGTGGCCAACACAGCTGAAGCAAGTGCCGGGAAGATTGAGGCGGCACGATACTTCTTAGCCAATGAGGGGCTGGGGAAGGGACCTGCGCGTACCAGGGAATAAACTACTGGCTGAACCTGCATCTGGTGTGCCTGCCTGCCAGACACCCGGTCTTCCCAGACTGTTAATAAAGTCTCATCTTTGCTGCACTTGCTGAGTCTGCGTCCGTCCTTTGAGTGGACCTGTGAGGCTGTTTCTCACAATATTCCACAAGGGTTTCATGCATTTTTGATTAACCTCTAATTATCATGCATATTTATAGGCTACAGTGTGATATTTTAAGACATTTGGGGCTAAGCAGCTTTTTGTTATGACAACAAAAATACCTGAGGCAACCAATTTCATCAAGAAGGGAGGCTTATTTCTGCTCACGGTTCTGCAGATTCCCAACCCAACATCCGCAGGCCCCCCTGGTTTGGCAGCTGGCCATGACATTCTTGTGGCTGGAGCCTTGAAGTGGGGCAGAATGTCACAGGGCAAGAGGGAGAGTGAGTGTATGAGTGTGTGTGTATGTGTGTGTGTGTGCGTGCAAGCGCGTGTCCCTGTGTGGTCTCTCCTCATAAAGCCACCAGGACACAATCACAGGAACTCCATCCAAATGGTCCAACCCAAGCCACTCACTTCCCAGATGCCATCACACTCATATCCAAACCACAGTAGATTTATACAGGGAGCAGTGATTAAACTGATTTGCATTTCTAGCTTCCTGTCACTTTTGGAGCTCATCTTTTTAAAATAGACGATAGGTTATTGTGAACTGTGACCGCTCCTCCGTGCCCTGGAACACTGGTGTGTAACCCTATACTAACCTCCCTCTCTGCTCTCTCTCCTAACCCTTCCCAACTTCTAATAATTGCTAAGGAATCCATTTTTATAGTGTTTTCCTTTAGAAGATTTTCTCCAAATACAAAGAAAAGAGAAAACTTAGAGGCTGCACCAACTCCACGGCTCTGACGTCTACCAGAGACGCCGTTTGTGGCTTCTGGACTCGCCGGATCTCCTGTGTTAATGGATGGTCTCCACACGCCAGCTGTGGAGCCCGGTGCTATACATGCACTGGCCCTTGATCTTCACTGCTGGCCAAGGGCCACCTTAGCTTCTCCTTCTATGGAGGAGAAATTGTAGTCCAGGGAGGCGGCAGCCGTGTGGCGGAGGCTGGCTGTGTCCTCGATGTCCCCTCCCGGCCCAGGAGGGCAGAGGCACTGGCAGATGGCGGCTGAGGAAAAGTCCCTGGTTTCTTCCTCTCTGCCATCCACGTTGTCTTCATCCCAAGCAGAGATTCTAGAACTGACGCAGGGCCAGTGTTTGGCCTAGCAGTGAAGGCACCAGCTAAGAGGCCTACGTCCTGTATCAGGTGGAGTGTCTGGGTTTGAGTCCTGGCTCTGCTCCTGATTCCAGGTTCCTGCCAATGTACGCCCTGGGAGGCAGCAGGAGGTGAATCAATAGTTGAGTCTCTCTTGCCTGGGTAGGATACCTGATCGAGTTCCTGGCTTCAGCCCCACCCCAGCCCAGCCTTGGCTATTGTGGGCATTTAAGTAGTAAACTGGCAGATGGCAGATGACATATGCTAGAGTCCCTACGGTAGGGAGGCCAAGGCAGCACGCTGGCACCAGCCCTCTTAGCCCTTGGTCCTGGTGGCCAGTGCCCAGTGTCCCCACAACCCCAGCCATGGCAGGAACCTGTTTCCCCAAAACTGCCCAGCAGCTGTTCCTAGGTATAAGAATCCCAGTGCCAGTTTAAATTGTGATTTAGGCAGCTCTCTCTGTGTCTTTCCCTGCCTCTCTCTATCTCTCTCTCTAAATATTTATTCATTTGAAAGGCAGAGTTACAGAGGGAGAGACAGAGAGGTCTTCCATATGCTGGTTCAATCCCCAAATGGTCTTAACAGCTGGGACTGGGCCAGGCCAAAGCCAGGAGGTAAGAACTTCATCAGGGTCTCCCACATGGGTGCAGGCGTCCAAGCACTTGGGCCATCCTCTGCTGCTTTCCCAGGCACATTAGCAGGGAGCTGGATCGGAAGTGGAGCTGCCGGGGCTTGAACCTGCACCTCTATGGTCCAGACCGGCCATGTGGGATGCCTGCATTGTGCGTTGCAGGTGGTGGCTTTACCCATCACACCACAGTGCCGGCTCCTTTTTGTTTTGTTACTTCCCCCAGTTCCGGTCCTTTCCTCCACCAGCCGACGAACAGGCTCGTTACCTAGACGTGTGTAATAACCCCAGTGGTGCCAGCACAGAGCGCAGAAGCGGGGTCGGGCCTGGGGCCGCTAAGGCCCTGCTGTGCAGCCACTGAGTCTTCAGTTCCATGGACCGGGAAGGAGTTGCTGGGACAGCAAGGGCCAAGGGGCGGGGGGCTCAGGGACAGCCGCCTGCCAGTCCTGCGTGGGATGCGACAGCCACGCAGGTCTCTGCACTTCCCCGCCGTCGGTCACCTGTGTCTCAGGACAGCCTGGACCAGTCTCGGTAGCCCTTCTGCACTGCCCGGGGCCAGGTTGGCCTCCTTCCTGCTTCGGGCACGGGGTTGAGCCCGCCTTCCTGGCTGCTCCGCTCAGGCTCCTGCCTGTACCTTTACACAGGTGCTCCAGCTTCCTGCCCGGGCAACACCTGTGCTTTGAGCGTCCACAGGGGCCATTGGTAAGTGTAGCCAGGGTTTGGGGTGGAGTATCCAAGACATGTCCGCTGGCTGGGCCTCTTCCCCTCTGAGGGGGGTCTTTCTCATCCCCCCCCTTTTTAAAAGATTTACTTTATTTATTATTTGAAAGGCAGAGTGACAGACACACACATGCACATACACACAGATCTTCCATCTGCTGGTTCATGCCCCAAACGGCCACAAGGCTGCCTGGGGCAGGGCCAGACGGAAGCTAGGAGCCTAGAACTCCATCCGGGTCTCCCATGTGGGTGACAGAGACCCAAGCACTTGAGCCATTCCCTGATGCTTTCCCAGGCGCAACAGCAGGGAGCTGGATTGGAAGCAGAGCAGCCAGGAAGAGAACTGGCGCCCTACAGCATACCAGTGGCATCATGGGTGATGGCTTAGCCCACCGCACCAAAGCGCCGGCCTCTCCACTCTTTCCTTAAAATAGGTGCAGGTGACTTTTCTGTGGACGTGCCCATTTTCTAGGGTATCAGTTGGCCGTCAGGCACAGCCGGTGGCGTCTGAGTGGCCGTCCTGGAAAGCCACCCCGTGCCCAGCCTCTCCAGGGATGAGGCCGTCAGCCCAGAGCCCAGCCCAGCCTGTCTCCTCCACGGCCCAGAGAGAGGCTCTGCCTCTTAGTTCCCGAGAGAGATGACACCGAAACCTCGCGGGGGCCAAATAAGGGAATGTTCCAGAGGGCCCTGGGAGCCCGTCTGCGTCTGAGTCACATCTTGGCCAGCACGGCCACACAGCTTCTGACTCAGCGCGTGGAGATTCTTCGAGTGAGACACTGCATGAGTTCAGAGGAGCAGGGGCGGGCAGGGCTGAGCTGCATCCGGGGTCAGGGCTGCAGCTGAGGGGCGGGGCCCTGGGCAGGCCTGTGTCAGAGGGAGGGCTGCAGCCCACGGGGCATTCTCCAAGCACGGGAGCAGTTGGCCTGCTCCCCAGCTCTGCCCAGCCCGCTTGTGCAGGTCGCTGCCCCTGGCCCGGCTCTGCTGGGGAGGCCTCGGCTCCCTGACTCATGCTGAGAAGGGAGGGCCTTAGAGGAATTCCTCTCCACGCCAGCCGCCAGCCATCTGATAAAAATGCAAGTCATGTCCAGACACAAGTGCTCTCCAGCGTGCATTCTGGACGTGAACTTGAATACAAATCAGCAAACACAACGGCTGCCGCTATCGCCTCAGCACTTGGCATATTTGATGGCAGCACCTCTTCCAGCCTGAACCACCTGGCGCCAGGAACACTGGCGGCTCCCGTTCCCGCTGGCCGGGCCGTCTGCTCCTGCAGGGGAGAGACTGGATTTTCTTTTTTTTATTAAAGATTTACTTATTGAAAGGCAGAGTTACACACAGAGCAAGGCACACACACACACACACACACAAAGAGGAGAGAGAGAGAGAGAGAGGTCTTCCATCCTCTGGTTTACTTCTCAAATGGCTGCAATGGCCAGGGCTGGGCCAAGCCGAAGCCATGAGCTAGGATCTTCTTCAGTGTCTCTCACATGAGTGTAGGGGCCCAAGTACTTGGGCCATCTCCTGCTGCTTTTCCAGGCACATTAGCAGGGAGCTGGAACCCCTGGGACTTGAACTGGTGCCTATATGGGATGTTGGTGGCACAGGCCGTGGCCCAGTCCATTAAGCCACAATGCTGGCCCCAGATTGCGTTTGTGATCCTGACTCAGCGCTTGGCACCTGCCGGGTACTTGGTAAAGGTTGACTGAAGGAAGGGCCACGGGCACAAAGCATTCCCAAGGCAACGCTTGGTGGAATCTTCAGTGGGAATCCCTGCTTTGCTCCGAGTCCTGCCGAAGGGCCCCCGAGTTAGTAATAGCTTGGGACTGTTCCAGATTGTTCCGTGTGGGGGTGGGGGCAGGCTCCCTCTTTACAAGAGAACAGAAGACTTCTCCCTGGCTGGGCGGGGGGGGTCCATGGCAGAGGGTAGGGGTGTTCCTGCGTCCACACAGCCCCTTGTGCCCTGTCGCCTGCCCTTCCCCTTGCTTTCTGGGGCTGGGCTGGTCCAGGCCCAGTGTGGGTGCTCCTGTCTGTGGGTAGGGCTGAGGAGCTGGGGCCTCCTTGGGACCAGTGTGGCCATCGCCACAAAGCCCAGCTCTCCCGCCCATGGCCACCCCTGGGACATCCTGCGAAGTCCTGGAAACCATGGAGATGCCTTTGTCCTCCCATGCGTGGGGATGGAGGTGGGTGGGCGGGGTCCTGGGGTGTCAGAGACAAGCTGTTCACTTAGTGACATCGTTCAAGCGTGATGAGGAAGGGGCTTTCTTCAGGACCCCCCACCCCCCAAGCCCGTGATTGGCAGAGGGACCACTGCAACGGAGGCCTGACTGACTAGACCACGGGCAAGTGGAAATTTACACCAAGGGGGGGGGGTAGGGGGGGTGTCAGTGGATGGAAAAAGACTGAGGAGAAACATGAGGCGTGAGGGGGCTTCTGGCTACACTGAACGAAGAGGGAGCCTGCGTGTGTTACAGCAGGTTAAGCTGCCCCATGGGATGCTGGCATCCCACATGAGCACCGGTTCGAGTCCCGGCTGCTCCACTTCCCATCCATCTCCCGGCCAATCTGCCTGTGAAATTGGGGGGAGGGTTTGTGGCCCAAGTGGACGGGCCCCTGCACCTATGTGGGAGACCCTGACAGAGTTCCAGGCCCCTGGCTGTGGCCTGGCCCAGCCCCTGGCTGTTGTGGCCATCTGCGGAGTGAACCACCCAGTGGAAGGGTCTGTTTCTCCCTCTGTAACGGCCTTTCAAATAATTAAGACTAAATCTTGAGGGAAAAAAAACACGACCTAACAAGATTGTTGCTGGACGGGACAGGCCAGAAGGACCCGGGCTGGTGAGGGGAGAGCCCCACGAGACATGGAGGGGGATGAGGGCGAGGAGGGTGCGCAGGTTGGGGATGAAGGGGAACAGGGGACGCCGACGGGGAAGGGGTGCGGGAGGGGCTACCGCCGGGTGGGGGCGGCTGCACGGACCGTGGCGCCGCCTTCCGGGAGGCAGAGGTGGCGGGGGAGGCAGAGCCCGCACCCCTCGGAGGCTCTCCGGGAGACCCAGCTGCAGGGAGCACACCGCCCCGTGCCCCCTTGCGGGGCTGGGTGGCTTGAGTTTTGAGGAGGTGTGAAGCTCCCTAGGAGTTCCTGAGCAGCAAACCTAATCCTGCAGCGAAGTCTTCGCAGGAAACCCTGCTCTCCACAGCGAACAAGGTCGGGGGAGGTCACGCCCAGGCCGGCCAAGGCTGGGGAAAATGGCGGCCCCCGAGGCCTCACTGACGTCGCGTTGGCGCCACCACGTGGCTAAACATGGTATTGTTACTCCAAAGCAAGACACAGCCTCATTGAACTAGGAAATCTGCCCGCAGGAGGCCTCTGAACCTCTTCAATATACGCAACCCAAACTGGCAAGACGCCGTGCGGTGGATCCAGGCAGTCAGGACTCAGATCCCCTCGCCCCGTGAGTCTGAGTCCTTCATCTGCTGGTCAGTGAATGGATCAAGAGTCGTGAGCGCGTTTGTGCAGGGATGGCTGAGCGCCAAGACTTGACCCGAAGGGGTGCACACACGGTGAGCAGGCAGCTGTGAGTCACTGTGGTGAGTGCTGCGGTGGGAACTAAGTGACTGGGGGTCCTCGGGCAGCGGTGGGAGCCTGGCTGCTTCAGTCAGCTGAGCCCTCAGGGTTCACTCACGTTGCTCGTGACGGGACCTACATCCCTTTTTATAATTAAAAAAAATTTTGTTTTATTCTAAAGGCAGAGTTATGGGCGGGGGCAAAGAGACAGAGAGACAGAGGGCTTCCGTCCACTGGTTCACTCCCCAAATGGCCCCCATGGCTGGAGCTGGGCGGACCTGAAGCCAGGAGCCAGGAGCTTCTTCTGGGTCTCCTACGTGGGTGCAGGGGCCTAAGCACTTGGGCCATCCTCCACTGCTTTCTCAGGTGCATTATCAGGGAGCTGGACTGGAAGTGAAAAGAGCTGAGACTCGAACTGGTGTCCACATGGGATGCCGGCATCACAGGTGGCAGCTTACCCAGCTACACCACAACATTGACCCCTTACTTCCTTTTTGAAGGCAGGATAAAAATATGTTGACTGGAAGTCCCCCAGCCCCACCACCCAGGGGATGTCTTAAACAGAAGGCACAAACTGAGGCTGGAGAGCTGAGCTAGGTTCACATGGAGGGGGGTGGATGGGGAGAGGACAGGAAGGGAGAGGGCTCCACACCGACCAGTGCCACTGGGCTGGGACCTGAGCGCGATTAGAGTGGCAGGTGCAGAGTCAATGGGGACAGTGGTGGAGACGAGTCTTGGGTCCCTACCACTCCCGGATAGAGTGCCAGGCTCCAGCCACCAGCCTGGCCCAGCCCCAGCTGTTGGAGCATTTGGGATGTGAACCAGCAGGTAGATGGGCTCTCTCTCTTCTCGCTCTCTCCCTTTCAAATAAATAAACAGAAACAAAGGAAACCGCAGAGCCGCGTGTGTCTCGTGTGTTTCAGGAGTCGTCGGCTTGCGCAGAGCGCTGCTGTGATTCGAGCACACCCAGGGAGGGTGCACACCGACCAGATGGTGAGCAGGGCTCGGAGGAGGGTGTGATGACAGCTCGCCTGCCTTCCCCTGCTGTCCGTAAGTCCCACCCCGCCCCCTCCTGTCCTCACACATCCATCGAGATGTCCCTGGCTTGCACTCTCCCAGTTGGCAGGCTTCTAACTGTGGGAAACACCATGGCCATTCTTCAGGCACTTACACACAGGGTTACCCTGTGATCAGCACCTCCACTGAGTGTGTGCCCTAAGAATGGGGAGCAGGGTCTGGAGGAGATCTCTGCACCCCTTGTTCACAGCGGCCAAGAGCTGGGAGCAACACGAGTATCCATTAATGGATGCATGGAGAAATGAAACATAGCACTCCCACAGCGGAGGACAGCAAATGGACTACAAGCGGTGACACTGATACCTGCTACAGTGGATGAGTGAGATAAGCCAGTTACCAGAAGACAAATCCTGTGTGATTCACTCACACACAGGGTCTTCAAAAACCTTACCGAAAATGCACATTTAAAAAAATTCCATTTTCCATGAGTTTTTGAAGTCCCTTCATATAGCAACTTAGGGTTGTCAAGTTCACAGAGCTGGAGGGAGAGTGGAGGTGCCTGTGCCCATGGGGTTGTGCAGGGGAAGTCAGTCCCAGAGCTGTCACACTCAGGTGTGAACACACACACACACACTGTGACCTGCACACTCAGACGTGGTCAGGGTCCGGGAGCTGTCACACTCGGGTATGAACACACACACACTGACCAGCACACGCAGACGTGGTCAGGGTCCGGGAGCTATCACACTTGGGTGTGAACACACACACACTGTGACCTGCACTCTCAGATGTGGTCAGGGTCCGGGAGCTGTCACACTCGGGTGTGAACACACACACACTGTGACCTGCACTCTCAGACGTGGTCAGGATGATGCGTGTTGTGTTGTGTGCCCTTCAATTACAATGAACTTCCTCCTGCCTCTGCATACATCAGTCAGCCTGATAGCTACACATGGACAGCCGGGGGCGTCCAGAAGCACCAAGCCTGGCTGGGAGCAGAAACTCCAGCGGTGAACAGTGCTGTTGGCTTCCTGACCTCTGCTCCCTCTGACAAAAGGCTGTGTCTAGAAGAACCCTCTGTGATGTTTGGGGATCCTCCACCCCAGCTGAGCCCTGCTGGCTGAGTGGCTGTGTATTGGCTCCCCAGAGACGTGCAGGGCCTCCTCGCCCTAGCACCTGGGGCTGCATTGCCTCCCCTGGCACAAAGGACTTTGCAGAAGGGATTAGGTTAAGGAGCTTGAGAAGGGACGGTGATCCTGGATTATCTGGGTGGTAATCACAGGATCCACAAGAGGGAGGCACAAGGACTGGTTGGGAGTAAGAGATGTGACAACTGAAGCAGAGTGTGGAGCGGTGGGAGGAAGGGACCAGGAACGAGGCAGGCAGCTGGGCTCTAGCAGTTGCCAAAGGCAAGGGATGAAGTATGCCCTGGGCTCCGGTAGGAGCCAGCCAGACCTCTAGCACTGAAGGGCACTGAATGTGTGTGGTCTGATGCCACCTGGTTCCTAGGAATGGGTGACCACTGCCACAGGGCACCAGTGCAGCGGCGCTGTGCCGCGGTCTCTAGAGCTCACACGATTGGACCCTCACCTTCCTGGTTCCGTGGGAGCAGGCTCCTGGGTGCATTAGCTGGGGATTGCCCATCAGAGGCTCCTGTGATATGGAGTGAGTCACTCAAAGAAGGCAGTGGAAGGTTCTCGGGGGTGGTGGCAGTGGGACATACAGGGTCTAATGAGTGACCTTTGGGGTCCTGCCCAGCTTGTGCAGTGGCGCCTCCTGCTGATCTGTTCTGTGTCCAGGGTCCATCAGGGAGAGTGATAGTGACATCCTCACTTGGTCCTTACGGCATGGCTTTGGCTCTGTAGCTCTGACTTTTAAATAAATAAATAAATCTTTAAAAATATTTTCCCTATATATATATAGTGGTTTATTTATTTGAAAGGGAGAGAGAGAGAGAGAGAGAGAGAGAGAGATTCACTACCCAAATGGCCACTATAGTTGGGGGCTGCGTCAGGCCAAAGGCAGGTGCCAGGATCTCCATCGGAGTCTCCCATGTGGATGTTAGGGGACCAAACCTTTCTAGTTGTGTTAGCAGGAAGCAGAGCTGCTGGGGTTCGAGCTGGTGCTCTGCTATGGATGCCAGCGTCACAGGAGGCTTCTGCAATGCTGACCTGTCTCTTACACTTGCTCTGCTCCGGCTCTGGAATGAACCAGATGCTGCAGATCCCCAGGGCAGACAGAAGTCTGGCCCCTCTGCCCGAAAGACCCACCCGGGAGTTCTTGTACTCTTGAGAATTTTGAATTTGCCCTTGGTTGATTTGTTACAGACCGATTAATAGCACCATGGCTCTGTAAGGGTAGATGCTAACATGGAGATTCTTATCTGGCCCAGATGCAAACGCATTGTCAGGTAAAAAGTAAAATAGCACAAACTAAAATAAAAACTGAAGCAAAAGCCCCAGATCCCAAAGGTCCCGGTTCCCTTGTGCTGCATGACCTTAACTAGTTTTGTAAATAACCCAGAATCCTCTTTTGAGCATCCTTTCTCCCAGTGCCTGTAATACTTAATCCCTTACATTCTCGTTGAATCAGCTTTAGCAGCCTGCTAGTTCTTTCAGTAATTAGATAAATAAATAATAAAAATGAGGCCAATAAACTCCATGCTCACTTCATGTTTATGAAAGTAAATAAAATAGGATTTTAACTTGTAAAATATTATACTTTGCTTCCTGAGCACTGGTTGAGCTCATTGGCTGGCGCCGCGGCTCACTAGGCTAATCCTCCGCCTAGCGGCGCCGGCACACCGGGTTCTAGTCCCGGTCGGGGCGCCGGATTCTGTCCCGGTTGCCCCTCTTCCAGGCCAGCCCTCTGCTGTGGCCAGGGAGTGCAGTGGAGGATGGCTCAGGTGCTTGGGCCCTGCACCCCATGGGAGACCAGGAAAAGCACCTGGCTCCTGGCTCCTGCCATCGGATCAGCGCGGTGCGCCGGCCGCAGCGCGCGGGCCGCGGCGGCCATTGGAGGGTGAACCAACGGCAAAGGAAGACCTTTCTCTCTGTCTCTCTCTCTCACTGTCCACTCTGCCTGTCAAAAAAAATTTAAAAAATTGAAAAAAAAATATTTAGAGGGGTTGGCATTGTGGTGCAGCTGGTTAAGCCACTACCTGCAATGCTGGGTCAGAAGTAGAGCAGCTGAGACAGGAACTGTTGCTTGATATGGGGTGCTGGGGTCGTGCGCAGTGGCTTACTGTACTGCCTGCAAAGCTGCCTGGCTTTGTTCCTCTCCCTCTGTCACATAGACTCATTTAGAATCTGAAATCTGTTTTGCTATCCATGCTACAGTGTGTTAGCGATGGAGGCACCTTTCACATGAAGACGGCCCACTGCTTTTTGCACAAGGTGGCCATGTAAATAGAAACACCAAATGCACATGGAAGTGACATCGGATGGCTTATTAATAATTTTCAATATTAATAACCCTGTGGGTTCTTGCCACTTAATAAGAGAAGAATTCTGAATATTGGCTCAAATAGGCCAGGCAACATGGTAAGCTTTATAAGCTTTTTATTCAGTGAGAGAAATGCACAGGAGAGTGAGGGCTTTATTTAGGGGAGAAAGAGAGGTCTAGAAGTTAAGTTGGGTCCATACCAAGCAGAGAGCAGGCTGGGAGCAGGCCACATGGAGCAGGTATATGATTATGAGCAGCCACAGGTGGCTTAGCACAGGCGGCAAAGTGAAAGCAGAGTGCAGGCCAGTAGGCCACGCCCCCAAGGGGCTGGGCAACAAGGGGAGAGCCCACCATGTTCCAGGCCTTTTATTTACTCCCAAGGTGGGCGTGGTTACGTAGTCTGATTGACAGGTGGGCCTACTGGTGGGGTCAGGTGGGGCATGAGATCACACAGGGAGCGTGGTCTTCCAGCTCATAAACCTAATCGATTTTATCCTATCTACTTGTCTATATCAGAACGGAATGTAAGAAAAAAAATAAGTGGAGTTTGATGTGGCCTTCCGAGTCATGCATTCAATTTACCAGTGCTTTATTTTTATTGGCCTTCCGCTGCTGTCCTAAGTACACATTAGTTCTTTCCACCCCACGTGGAAAATGGCAGTATTGGCACATTTTAATTAACTCCAGATATATTTCTCTGCTCAGAATTCTGAGACGCCGATCTTCCTCCAGACGACCCTGGATAATAAAAAGCAGCTCCAATTCCCCAGAGCTGGGCTGTTCAAAGCCAGTTTTAAACAAGAGGGGGCACGATCTCCCCGATGTTTCATTTTCTGTTTGGTGTTCATGCCCTTCTGGTGATAAGGAGTTTTTTTTATGACTCACAGAAATGATGTCTTAATTCTGGTTTTTAACAGCCGGGCTGTGTGAGTTGCTCCTATTGCTGACGGCTGTATGATTCAGTTGCTGTCTGGGACCGGGATCTGACCAGGCCTCCTGGGAGCAGACGCTGGAGCCTGTCCCGGCCTGCCTGGGTTCCCCCATTTCTGTGTGCCGTGCCTCTGGGGCATCTTCTTACACATTAGGACATCTTCTCTCATAAAAGGACCCACAATTCATTCTGATTAAGGTGCAAATAGCAGGTAATAGCTGCCAGTGCAGTTCCTCTCTCCCAGGCTCCCGTGGAACACCCTCAGGGCAGCCCACGTAATAGGCACGGTTTGTCGGACAAATTGTGAAAATGTGGGCACCTGTTCAAAACGCGGGGAAAAAGTGCTGTTAAAAGTGTACAATATCCAACTTCTTCTAGAAAGCTTATAAAATGTGATAGGGATGATAGTGCTAGATGAATAACAACATAAACTTAGAGATACTCTTATTATATAATACAATGAATGATAATATTCTATTAGTGTGATACCTTGATGGAGCTTACTATTTTCCTGGGTTACTTTTCTGCAAATACATTTATTAAGCCATCAAAATTCGTACTTTGAAGAGAGTGACAGCGCGGGCACGTGACTGTGCTGGCTGCCGCCTGTGAAGCCAGCCCCTTCCACCCCGGTCGCTGCTTCTCCGGGCGTAGATGCTCAGGTGGAGTCTGGTGTGGGGAGTAGCTATTAGGGATCAATACCTGTGGGTGGGCAGGGGAGGGAGCAGTCTTGGGCAGAAAGGGAAGTTAAAATGTGATGCAATTATGACGAAGCTGCGGCCACTCCCATGGGTGCCCTGGATCCCACCTGGCCCATCGGAGGTGCTGGGTGGACCACAGTGTCGGCCCAGGGAGGGGGGCTGCCTCAGCTGTGGCAGCCGTGAGAGCAGGAAGTTACCAGCTCACAGGTCCTTTAGCATCTGTCTTGGCTGTGGAGAAGCCGCCTCAGACACCTCACAGCTGCCTCAGGTTGACCTACGACCTGAGTTAACGTCTGAAGAAAATAGTGGCAAACTGAATCCAGCTACGTACATGTGACCATAGATCTCAGCCAATAGCGTGGGTCTGTTCCACGAATGGGAGGGTTGGTTTAACACGACCAGGGAATCAACTGTTGGTTGGTTGATCTGCATTGGAAAAGAGATGCCCTAGGCACACAGAGGAAGTGGGAACTGTTCCCAGTCTCGGAGGGGAGGGTGGTTGCCCGAGCGCGTCTCGTGGGTTCTTTTCCTCAGCTTAGTATAGAAATAAAAAGCCGGGAAACAATTTGCAAAGAGGCAGAAAATTTTATTAGACAGAAAAGAAACTTTTAGTTGATTGACAAGTGACAGAGATAGTGTCTGCTCTGAGAGGAGAGCAGGTGGAGTGCCCGAGCGGGACACTGGCTTTGAGGAAGTGTCCTGGGTTTCTAAGGCATTGGTGTCTGTTCACTGGGTCATCCTACTGGGGGTCCCCTTGGACAGGGGTCTCACATACGTATGTTGACTGGCTTGGGGCTCAAGGAAACAGCGAGGGTCTCTAGGAGACTGTCTCTCTCTTAGGGGCTCAGCCCCCTCCTCTGCTAGCTCTGGGTGGAAGATTGCAACTAACTTGAAGACATGATTTAAAACCACAAGGTCACACGAGATAGCCAGGGTCTCTTGGAGCCGGTCCAACTCTCCCCTCTCAGTCCCTCCCCTGCCAGCTGAGGGTGAAAGGCTGCAGCCGCCCCGAAGGTGTGATTTCAGGCTGCAAGGTCACACGTGCAGCACAAGAGGCTGTTAGTGGGGGAGATGCCAGTCGGCCTGGATACAGGCTTTCCAGCCACAGCTGACAGCTTGCACGTGTAGGACGTTCTGCCTACGTCTGCAGGGGCCCACAGACCCCCAGCCCTGCTGGGCGGCCTCAGAAACTACAGTGGAAGGGAAAGACTTACCAAGTGCGCAGGAGCCAGAAGGAAGCTGCCATGGCTGTAGTCATATCAGACGAAATAAACTCTAAAGGGGAAGGCATCCTTAGAGACGACAGTGGGTGGTTTGGTAACAAGGCTCATGAGGGACCTTAGGAAGACAGGGAAGCTGGTTGAGAGGAAGCACAGGGGAGAGCTTTGAGGTCTGTTGAGTGTCTCCTGCAAGCACAAAGCCTCGGCACCCTTTTCCCACCGCCAGCAGACGGAAAGTGCAACGTTTGCTTGGCTGTTTAGTTAACACCACAGAAAGGAAGGCACTGTCAAGTTGTGGAGGAACCATGCATTTGAGGGGATTCCAAAGAGTTTGCAGAAAGTGAAGTCAAAGCTAAGTTTACTTTTATTATGATTTTTAAGGATTTATTTTATGTATTTGAAAGGCAGAGTTAGAGAGAGAGAGAGATCTTCCATCCGCTGTTTACTGCTCAAATGCCTGCAATGGCAAGGCTGGGCTAGGCTGAAGCCGGGAGCCAGGAACTCCATCTGGGTTTCCCACATGGGTTCAGGGGCCCAAGCACTCGGGTCATCTTCTGCTTTTCCAGGTGCATTAGCAGGGAGCTGGATCGGAGGTGGAGCAGCCAGGACTGGAACTGGTGCTCATGTGGATGCCGGCACTGCAGGAGTGGCTTAACCTGCTGCACCATAAT